TTTAATTCCTGATTGCAGAAATTTAAGTGCATTGTTTCAACAAACTTTACCACACTTACTTGGTGAGGGACTGAAAGTTTTCTTCCTTAATGATTCTAGTGAAAAGTTGGGGTGTCCGGCATGGAAAACCTGAGTCATAACGAGCTCTGAAGATGTGAGAGATGGCTGATTTTCTGGGCCAAAGCAGTCTGTGGATCCAAGGTGCCATAGGCGTGCGCATGGGGTGTGTCGGGTGTGCCTGGGCACACCCTAATCCCCGCGACACGCCTATGGAGTGAGACCGGCAGGGGAGATCTCAGGATCTCCCCTGTCGGCTCATGCAGAGCCGGCGCTATCCGAGCCCCGGCTCTGCTCTGAGCCTCCCTCCCCATGGACCCACATGCAGGGAGGGAGGCAGGAGAGGACCCGGGGAGCTATTGCCAGCAGCTCCCCCGGGTTCCTCTCGCAAGAGTGAACTCTAGCCCTACAGGCTAGAGTTCACTCACCACTGGACCACCAGGGAAGGCAGCAAGGAACAAGAATCCCCCCTCCCTACATAAAGTAAGAAGGGAGGAGGGATATTAAGTAAATCCACACACATACAGCACCCACAGACATACAGCAGCACCTACACACATACAGCACCCACAGACATACAGCACCCACAGACATACACAGCACCTACACACATACAGCACCCACACACATACAGCACCCACACACATACACAGCACCAACACACATACAGCACCCACAGACATACACAGCACCTACACACATAGAGCACCCACAGACATACACAGCACCTACACACATACAGCACACACACACATACACAGCACCAACACACATACAGCACCCACCCACATACAGCACCCACACACATACACAGCACCAATGCACATATAGCACCCATACACATACAGCACCCACAGACATACATAGCACCTACACACATACAGCAACCGCAGACATACATAGCACCTACACACATACAGCACCCACACACATACACAGCACCAACACACATACAGCACCCACAGACATACACAGCACCTACACACATACAGCACCCACAGACATACACAGCACCTACACACATACACAGCACCCACACACATACACCACCCACACAAATACAGCACCCACAAACATACACAGCACCTACACACATACAGCACCCACAGACATACACAGCACCTACACACATATAGCACCTACACATATAAAGCACCCACAGACATACACAGCACCTACACACATACAGCACCCACAGACATACACAGCACCTACACACATACACAGCACCCACACACATACAGCACCCAGGGGCGTTTTAGCCGCGAGGCAAACAAGGCATTTGCCTTGAGTGGCATTTTCCAGGGGGCGGCAAAAAACACCGCCCCCAAATGCCCAGGGCAAATGCCTTGTTAGCCTCGCGGCTAACAGACATGCCGGGCTGGCGGGCGGCTGGCGAGGGAGCTCTTCTTCTGAGCGGTCAGCTCAGCTCCCTCGCGCGCTGTAGAGTGAAGCTGGGAGCCGGAATATGACGTCATATCCCGGCTCCCAGCCTCACTCTGCAGCGCGCGAGGGAGCTGAGCAGACCGCTCAGAAGAAGAGCTCCCTCGCCAGCCGCCCTCCCAGCAGCCAGCCCATCAGCCCGACCGGCAGCCACTGGACCCCAGGGAGAAAGAGAACCCCCCCCCAGCATTCCCAAAGGTAAGGAGGCTGGGGTGGGAGGTTAAATAAATAGAAAAATATGTTAATGTGAGTGATTGTGTGTCTGTTAGTGTGTGTGTGTGTGTGTGTGTGAGTGTGTGTCTGTTAGTGTGTGTGTGCCCATTAGTGTGTGTGTGTGTCTGTTAGTGTGTGTGTGTCTGTTAGTGTGTGAGTGTGTGTCTGTTAGTGTGTGAGTGTGTCTGTTAGTGTGTGTAAAACCGTTAGTGCCCGTTAGTGTGTGAGTGTGTGTCTGTTAGTGTGTGTCTATTAGCGTGTGTTCGTTGTTAGTGTGTGTGTGTTCACAGTGTGTGTGTGTGTGTATGTGTTCGTTAGTGTGTGTCTGTTAGTGAGTGTGTGTGTGTCTGTTAGTGTGTGTGTCTGTTAGTGAGTGTGTGTGTCTGTTAGTGTGTGTGTGTGTCTGTTAGTGAGTGTGTGTTAGTGAGTGTGTGTCTGTTAGTGAGTGTGAGTGTGTCTGTTAGTGTGTGTGTGTCAGTGTGTGAGTGTGTCTGTTAGTGAGTGTGAGTGTGTCTGTTAGTGTGTGTGTGTGTTTCTGTTAGCTAGTGTATGCGTATCTGTCAGTGAATGTGTGTGTGTGTGTATTTAGAAGGCGGGGCTGGGGGAAGGGTTGGGTGGGGGTGGCACGGGAGGAAGGTGTGCCTGAGTTTTGTCCTGCCTAGGGCAGCACAAAACCAGGATACACCACTGACAGCACCCACACAAATACAGCACCCACATACATACACAGCACCTACACACATACAGCACTCACACACATACAGCACACATACACAGCACCAACACACATAAGCACCCACACACACATACAGCATCCACACACACCGCACCCTCACAAACAGCACCCTCACAAACACACACAGCACCCTTACACACAGCACACAAACAGCACCCTCACACACAGCACACAAACAGCACCCTCACAGCACACTAACAGTACCCTCACAAACACAAACAGGACCCTAACAAACACACACACAGCACACTACCAGTACCCTCACACACAAACAGCACCCTCACACACAGTACATTAACAGCACCCTCACAAGCGCACACACACACACACACACACACAAACAGCACCCTCACACACAGTACATTAACAGCACCCTCACAAGTGCGCACACACAAGCACCCTCACCCATATAGAACACTACCAGCACCCTCACACAGCACACACACACACACACAGCAGTGTATATGTGTGTGTATATATGTGCATATATATATATATATACATATATATATATACATACATATATATACGCGGCGTGTGCTTGTGCTTTAGGGTGCACACCCTAATGCAATAGGCTACGCACGCCTATGCAAGGTGCCAGAGGGTGCTGACCACCCTTTGGGCTGGTGTGTGTTATTATGGTCCTCTGGTCCTCATCAGAGATGCTTTATCTCCATAGGAGTTATTATTACTAGATCGACTACAAACTGGCATAAATATTACTCACCTAAAATGGCGACAGTCAAACATAAGTCACATGCTGGTACTGCTATGTGTTTGTTGCGTGCTAATATGTCAATAAAATATAACATTGTGACAGAGCTCCAGTACTCCGACCCAGTACCTCCACCAAGTCTGCTTCCTTGTAGCTATCAGGGACCCTGGAGCACTTCAGACTCAGTCGCCGAGGCTTGACTGGGATGACTGAGGGCTTTTTCCACCCTGTACCAAACACCAGACGACACTTGGTGAAGATTAAAACAACTAACTTTAATAGACATAGCACACATTTAAGTCCCCAACAGCCTAATTTACATACAATAGGGTACATAGAGCACTATAGTACAAGGAAAGGTGGGCTCAGGCAATAGCAAGGGCTGATGGGAGATTGAGGACGGACATGGCAGCTACTTTAAACTGGTCTGGCAGTGTCCCTGGGACAACGCCCTGCTGGGGAAACAATAGGACAGGAAAAAGGGGGGAGGGGGAGATGCACAGACCAGCAATACATTCAACATACCTGGAACCAATAATGGGCACAGGGTGATTAAAACACAAAATGAATCTGGGGATCCACACATAGTGTCTGTTTTTCATCCCCACAAATATATAAATATATAAATATATATATAGTAAAAAACCTTTACTATTGGACTAACAGGATTATTTTAATGACAAGCTTTCGGGAGAACCTCCCTTTCTCAAGTCTGGAGCATTTCTGAGCAAAGACAACACAAAGAATTCAAACCTGAGTTGTGATACAGGGGTTAAAATGACAAGATTGCTGATAAGACAGGTTTGATAGAACATAGACACTATTCTTGCAGAGAGGGTCATAAATATATTATGCAAAGATCACAGAGTGAGGGGGGAGAGAGAGAGAGAGAAAAAAAAACAAGCGAACAGTGCAGAAAATTGTGCTAGAAGGAGGGAGTATTAATATAAAGAATGCATGAGTGTTACAGGATATGCATGAAGGCCTCTATCCAGCATACACAGACACACGTACACACTTACACTCATGTACATATACATATACACAAGTAGTGCATATGTACAAGTATAACAAGAACATACACACTATACACAAGTACATACAATATACATATAAATACTACCAAATTCCCATATATATGTACATGCACACCTACACATCCATCCACACACAAGCACCAATACATGTACCTACACATATCAAACAAAAAATGAAAGTGTAAGTACACTTGAAACAGAGTTGGGTTTATTAGCAAATGAAGACCAGGAAAAAGCAGAAATTTTAAATAACTATTTTTCTTCAGTATATATTAATGAGGATCCTATGGCAAGAGATATGCAAATGATTGCTGCAAAAAACTTGCAAATAACTTGTGATTGGATAACTTGAGACAAGGTGCTACAGCTATTAAAGAAAATTAATGTAAATAAAGCTCAGGGGCCTGACTGTATTCACCCACGAGTACTTAAGGAGCTAAGTGGGGAAATAAGTGAACCTCTGTATTTAATTTTTCAAGATTCTTTTGTTTCAGGTGTTGTACCGGAGGATTGGAGGAAGGCAGATGTTGTTCCTATATTTAAAAAGGGTTCAAAATCCTTGCCTGGAAATTATAGACCTGTGAGCTTAACTTCTGTAACTGGGAAAATATTTAAAGGGCTATTAAGGGATAATATTCAGGAATTCATTGGGAAGAACTTTGTTATTAGCAATAATCAGCATGGTTTTATGAAAATAGGTCATGTCAAACTAACCTAATTGCATTCTACGAAGAAGTAAGTAGAAGTATAGATCAGGGTGTTGCAGTGGATGTGATCTACTTGGATTTTTGCCAAGGCATTTGATACGGTTCCTCACAATAGGTTAGTCTTCAAACTAAAAGAAATTGGTCTAGATGAATATTCTTGTTCTTGGGTAGGACATTGGCTTAAGGATAGAGTACAATGAGTTGTTACTAATGGTAAATTTTCAGGCTGGACAAAAGTGGTAAGTGGTGTCCCTCAGGGTTCTGTTTTGGGACCACTTCTATAACATATTTATAAATGATCTTGAAATAGGCATTGAAAGCCATGTATCAGTGTTTGCAGATGACACAAAACTTTGTAAAGTAATAAAATGTGAGCAGGATATTGCTTTGCTGCAGAGAGATTAGGATAGATTGGGGGACTGGGCACTAAAATGGCAGATGAAATTTAACATAGAGAAATGCAAAGTTATGCACTTCGGGGTTAAGAATGCACAAGCAACTTACACACTAAATGGTGGTGAATTAGGGATAACCACACACGAGAAGGATTTGGGAATTGTGAAAGACAACAAATTAGGCAGCAATATGCAATGTCAATCTGCAGTTGCTAAGGCCAGTAAGATTTTGTCGTATAAATAGGGGCATAAATACTCGGAATGAAAATATAATTTTGCCTCTTTATAAATCGCTGGTAAGACCACACCTTGAATATGCTGTGCAATTTTGGGCACCTGTTCTAAAGAAGGATATCATGGCACTGGAGAGGGTCCAGAGACGAGCTACAAAATTGATAAAAGGAATGGAGCATTTTAGTTATAAAGAAAGGTTAAAAAAATTTAATCTGTTTAGTTTGGAAAAACGGTGCCTGAGAGGGGAAATGATAACTTTATACAAATATATTCGGGGCCAGTACAAACCTTTATCTGGAAATCTATTCATAAACAGGGCTATACATAGGACACGGGGTCACACATTTAGGCTGGAAGAAAGGAGATTTCATCTAAGGCAAAGAAAAGGTTTTTTACAGTAAGAACAATAAGGATATGGAATTCTCTGCCTGAAGAGGTGGTTTTGTCAGAGTCCATACAGATGTTTAAACTGAAATTGGATAAATACTTACAAAAACATAACATACAGGGATATAATTTCTAATTAGTGGGTAATAGCTGATTGATCCAAGGAGACATCTGACTGCTATTTTGGGGTCAAGAAGGAATTTTTTCCTAGTTTGTGGAAAAATTGGAAGTGCTTCAGACCAGGTTTTTTGCCTTCTTTTGGATCAACAGCAACAACATTTGTGAGGAAGGCTGAACTTGATGGACGCAAGTCTCTTTTCAGCTATGTAACTATGTAACTATGTAATATACCAATGTGCCTGCACATACATAGACCCATATATATGCATATGTACACATACACCTATTCATGTATACATACATGTATGCATGTATATATACACTTTACACACACACACACACACACACACAAATACATACATATATACGCACACACATAAATACATGAACACACATATATATATATATATATATATATATATATATATACACATGTCTTGGTCCAGTTAGGACATACAAAGGGAAAAAAGAACTAAAATAGTGTAATATGTTTCAAGCAAATAAGAAGATATAAAATGTCTGCTGTAGATTCACTCACATATTTAGTAGCTAGTACAAGCTCAGATAGGATGGGCATTCAGTGGTGTTGATCCCCCACTGCTGGGATATAGGTGATGATATTCGTGTGTATGTCCATCAGAGTAGAGTTTTATCTGCAGAAATTTTTTTTTTTTTAAATAGTGCTCTCTGTATACACAATATAATATATATAGTAAAAATAAGAAGATCTTATACTCACATTTAAGTGTGCTGGCTTTTTACTGTAAGTAAAATATATATATATTTTTATTTTTCTATTATACATTTTATATACTATTTGCAAGGCGCAACCTAATTATTAGTTATTATTTGTATGCTAGATATAGGTTTTCATGCATATCCTGTAACTCTTGAATGGGAATTCATGTATTCTTTATACTAATACTGCCCCCTTTTAGCACCATCTTCTGCACTGTTCGCTTGTTTTCTTTCTCTCTCTCTACCCTCACTCTGTGATCTTCGCATAAGATATTTACGACCCTCTCTGCAAGAAAGGTGTCTATGTTCTATCAAACCTGTCTTATCTGCACTCATTTAACTTTAACCCCTGTATCACAACTCAGCTTTGAATTCTATGTGTCGTCTTGCTCAGAAATGCTTCAGACTTGAGAAAGGGAGGTTCTCATTAAAGCTTGTCATTAAAAAATTCTGTTAGTCCAATAAAAAAGGTATTACAAGATATAAATTGTATCTGCTTTTTACATCTACATCACTGGACTAATACTACTACTACAATCTCTACTTGAACACTATATATATACTATATATATAAAGTATAAGTATTTTTATTTAATGTATAATTTCAAGTAAAAGGGAGATATCTACATACCTTTGCAATATCAAGTTATTTTAGTAAAATGCACATATTCCACATTACAGATCACAAATTTAAAAACAGAAAATTAATGTTTTGTTTTTTCTACAAAGCTTGAAAACGCAGTAGAAATTTTACTGTTGTGATTTCTTTCCTTATGGAAGTCTTACAAACATTTCCAAAATTTTTTTTAGTTTTTGAAGGTATAAAATAAGTCTAATATATTGACATGGGAAGTGCTTATGAATCATCTCAGAAAAAAAACATGTTCGTTCTGAGTAAGCCCCTGAGGGGATGAGCAACAAATCATGACAAGATTTCCGTTTAACAAAATGCCACATTCTCGAGATAAAGACCACCCCAGACCACTTAGTATGCTCCAACAGGTATTCTGAGATCACCTGCTGGCTTTGAATTGAGCTGTCAGAGATTGGATACCATGAGAACAAGTCTGCATAATGCCCTATCTTCTAAGTCTGTCACTGGGTAACAGCATCAGGGATTGAAGGTTATTTAAAATTCCATAGGTTATGGTGCCAACAGTTCCGCTGTCAGTCTTCCTCTGTGCACAATTGTGAAAAAGTAATTAAATAGAATTTTAATACTATTTTAATATTTTATGTAGTATAATGCTTTAAAAATTTGGAATCCAGCATGGAGTATCACAAAGCGTGTTATTGGAACATGAACAATATTCAATCACCACACTAACTCACTAAAGCCTGTGCCCATCTACTCTGCCCCAGTGGTATTTGAGTAAGTACATAGGTAAACCATAAGAAGGGCTGAGTCAGGCAGCCACCCCCCTCCCACTTCATGTTTAAGAATTGCTGTTCTTGCCTTCTTACACGTTCAGCACACAGCACTCTCTGTCCTGCATTCCTTTACAAGGCTGGGCCTTATTGCATAACATGTTCAACAAACAGATAAAGATTCCTAGTTCACTAACCTGCAGAGATATGGATACACCTGAAACTCTTTCAGATAATTTCCTGGCCCAGGTGAGTACAGTTTACTCCATTCAGGAACAAATAATGATTCAAGGGCATAGTTACAGATATGCCTTGTATTATATATATATATATACATATATATATATATATATATATGCTGATCAGCCACAACATTAAAACCTCTGACAGGTAAAGTGAATAACATTGAATATACCGTTACAATGGCACCTGTCAAGGGGTGAGATATAAGAGGCAGAAAGTGAACAGTCAATTCTTGAATTTCATGTGTTGGAAGCAGTAAAATGGGCAAGTCAAAAGATCTGAGTGACTTTGATAAGGGTCAAATAGTGATAGCTAGACAACTGGGTTATAGCATCTCCAAAACAGTAAGTAATTTGGGTTTTGTCAGTGCGAAGTGGTTAGTACATAAAAAAAGTGGTGCAAGGAAGGACAACCAGTGAACAGGTGTCAGGTTCATGGCCGCCCAAGACTTGTCGATGCACTGGTCCGATCACACAGAAGATCTACTGTAGCTCAAATTGATGAAAAACCTAATGCAGGCCATGATGGAAATGTGTCAGAACACGCAGTGTGTAACGGCCTGCGCGTACTCTGGCTGAGTACCCCGTTATATTCAGCTTCCAAGGCTATCTATGACCATCCAGTATAGCCTTGTGTAATTTAAGTATGTGGTGTCACTAGGAACGCTCCAGTGTATGGAGCTGTGTAACTGCAGACCAGTCAGAGTGCCCATGATGACCACTGTCCACAGCCAAAAATGCCTTTAATGGGGACGTGAGTGTCAGAACTGGACCATGGAGCAATGGAGAAGGATGCCTGGTCTAGTGAATCACATTTTCTTTTAGATCAGGTGGATGGCTGGTGCGTGTGCGTTACTTACCTGGGGAAGAGATGGCAGCAGGAAGCACTATTAGAAGAATACAGGCCAGCAGAGGCAGTGTTATGCTCTCTGCAATGTTCTGCTGGGAAACCTTGGCATTCATGTGGATGTTACTTATACACGTACAACTTACCTAGAGATTATTGCAGAAAACCCTTAATGGCAATGGTGTTTTCCTTGACGGCAGTGGACTATTTTAGCAGGATAATGCACCCTGACACACTATAAAAATTGTTAGTTTAAGGAACATTATAAAAAGTGCAAGGTATTGCCTTAGCCTCCAAATTCCCCAGATCTCAATCCGATTGAGCATCTGTGGAATGTGCTGGATCAACAAGTCTGAAACTTAGAGGCCCCATGTCGCACGATATGCTATTAATGTCTTGGTACCAGATACAAAAGGACACAGTCAGAGTTATTGTGGAGTCCATATATCAATACATCACAGCTGTTTTGGCAGCACGAGGAGGTCTACACAATATTAAGCAGGTGTTTTTTTATGTTGTGGCTGATCACTGTATATGTAGTTTATTTTTATACTGGTTACCTTTTAAAAGAATGTTGGTTTGCAAAATGAATAAGGAATGCATATATTGACTGTTTTCATTTTATATAAAAAGAAATTGTATTCATCCCATTTGTCAGGTCCCTTGCCACCGTGCCGCTCGTGATGACCTTGCTTACCTCATCACAGTGAGCGGCGTCATCTGGTCCCTGTCTCCAGACGGGCATTGTGTCTGAGGCTGCACGCTCCAGAGCTGCTTCCTTATATGTGTGCTGCACCCGGTCATGTGACCCGGCACACAGTGATATGTTAACACTAATTGGAGATTAGCCAATCAGACACATCCTGTGTGTATATAAACTAACCTCTCCCTTGCCTCAGTGCCCTATTGTGGTCTTTGGTTTACCATTGAGCGTTGCACTTGTTATTTGGATTTCCTGGTTACTGATATTTGGTTTTGTCTCTCGTTATTCCATCTCTCTGTTTCCCTTGACCTCGGCTCGTGTTTCGACTATCCCTTTTTGCATAACCCGACCATTCTAAGGATCGGTATTGCAATTTTCTCTACACTATCCTGTCTATGTGTTAGAGTTCCCTAGTAAACGTTACACCATTGACTCCTGCAACAATCTCCAGCACCTACAAGACAAAAATAGTAAGATGAATAGAAAAGATCAAAATGAGTCAAGGCAAATCAATTGAAATTCAGTCAATTCTCAGCGTGAGTAATATCTGTGGTACAAATACAAAGGACGATATGTGCTGCTTTCACAATGAGAGATAATGGGATACTAATAGATGAATCCTGAATCAAATGACTATTGGGTCTAAATTGCCTATATATGAAAAGAAATAGGAAGCTGAATGAAAACACTTTATTCAAGATGTATGAAATAGAAATGATTTATATATTTGAATATATATATAATTTTTTTAACATCCTATAATGGAAAATCAACCTGAAATGGGGCTGGGGCCACAATGGACCCCTATTTGACAATTGTTCAGCGAGTGGATAATTTCAAGAAATTCCCAGATTAATTGGTCGCCATGTTCACCTGACTTTTCAGCTTACCATTACTTCATGTGGAGATATCTGAATGAGTGGATGTATGTGAACAAACTGTGTGCGCACGAGCTTCTCAAGGAGAACATACGTGCAGAAATTTGAGCACTGAGCCTTAAACATTAATTAATGTTATGAACAATGGAGTCAAAAGAGCCTGACATTGCGAGGCGGAAAATGGAGCTCATTTAAAAGATGCTATCTTCTGTACCTAACTCTCTATACCATAAGCATTCATATGTATATAAAATTATTGAAATTGTTTCTTTAATAAAAAAGTTAATTAAAGAGACACTATACTCACCAGAACAACTATAGCTTATTGTATTTGTTCTGGTGAGTAGAATCTTTCCCTTCAGGATTTATGCAGTAAACACTGTGTTTTCAGAGAAAATGCAGTGTTTACATTACAGCCTAGGGATACCTCCACTCACCACTCTTCAGAAGGCTGCTAGAGGTGCTTCCTGGGGAAGATATAAACTTTCCTCATAGAGATGTATTGATTTAATACATGTCTATGAGGAGATGCTGACTTGCTAGGGCTGTGTTTGACTTGTGCTGGCTTTGTCCCTGATCTGCCTCAGCCAATCCAATGCTTTCCTCTGGGAAAGCATCGTGATTTGCCAATAGAATTACTTGTGATGATGTGAGACAAGCCGGCAGATCAGAGGCAGAGCCAGCAGCAGCAGACACGAATACAAGTATGATTTTACTATAATTGAGGGGTGGCAATGGCAGTCAGGGAGGTTAGATGGTGTTTTTTAACACTATAAGGTCAGGAAGACATGTTTGTGTCCCTGACTCTATAGTGTTCCTTCAAATAAAAAGTTAAGACTCCTCAATTCCTACTCTGAATTTTGGCCCACCCTTTACATATATATATATATATATATAACATTGATTATATCGTTACAATGGCACCTGTCAAGGGGTGAGATATAAGAAGCAGAAAGTGAACAGTCAGTTCTTGAATTTCATGTGTTGGAAGCAGGAAAATGGGCAAGTGAAAAGATCTGAGTGACTTTGATAAGGGTCAAATAGTGATAGCTAGACAACTGGGTTATAGCATCTCCAAAACAGTAAGTCATTTGGGTTTTGTCAGTACGAAGTGGTTAGTACATAAAAAAAGTGGTGCAAGGAAGGATAACCTTATAATTCATTAATATATATATATATTATTTTTGTTTTTTTTGATCATTTAAAACTTAAAGGACAACTGACATCACATTCATTCTTTTCAATCTTCAAAGGTTTATTACATTTAATGAAATCTAATGATATATATTTTTTTTTTCATCTGGCCGAGCAAACATGCTAGGCCAGACTCTACTGTAATGTTATTGTATGATACATGTTTTGTATGTGTGTGAGGCAGCTAGCAACATATGTGTTTATGTAGATAATTAGATAAGTATGTCTACGTGAATAATTTAATGTTTTTGTGGCTGAACGTGTGTTTTTCAATCTCACCCACCCAGATCTTTGCAGTAAGGTAGCCCTGGGCAACATACCAATGGTATAGCAGTAAGGCCCAGATTTGTCAGATTATATGAAATATAATACTCTAGCATTTTGGCTCACACCATGTACAGGTTTGCATTTATGCTCTTATAAGTGACATAAAACAATATTAGGCATGACAAGCGCTCTTTAATTGATTGATAAATAATGAAACATTTTGATTGTGGGAACGAGCAAAATAGAGGCCAGCTATTTTTTAGAGATACAATTTATTATTCCTTGTATTAATTCCTCTCAAAGGAAGCAATTTCTTAACGTTATCTCAGAAAGGAAATGGTTCTCAGAATCTTTGGCTTGCACGGAACACAGAGAGGAAAGCATGTAAGAGATTGCTCTTTCAGGTGCGGAAACCCTTGTGACACATTTTGCTGTGGTTAAGTGAAATTCGAGAAAATCACTTACAAAACAGTGTTTCCTTCTCAGAGAAATGGCGGGAAAGTGATTTACACTCATGTTTCCACTTAACAAAACTTACCAGGAAAGATTTTACGCTGTTAAAGGACAACAGTCATCTGCAAAGTATTTCTAATATATGGTAATAATCCTTACATCAAGTTTTGAAAGTTTTTTATTTAATGAAGTATATGATAGAAACCTTCAGCCATGTACATGCATCTTGGGTCAGACAGTGTTGGAAAACTGACCGTCTCTGCTATGGTTTTCACTGCTTCATCCCTGCACAGCGCTGTGACATACTCAGACCTGATAGCTGTCAAACCCTTGTCTAAACTAAGTTGCATGTATATGGCTGAAGGATACTGGCATATACTAAATGTAGGGATGAGGTTTTAAATATACTTCACAAAATATCAAAATATAAATATTACATTAAAGGACAACTGTCACATCAAAACTATTTTTTAAGCATTGCAGGTGTGTCCCGATTTAAGTCATCAGTAATGATGACCCGGACTTCACAGGAGCCTGATCAGAATGACAGTGGACAAACCTGATGAAAATCTGTTCAAGGACTGAAACGTTGACAAAGCTTATGGTAAATAAATACAAATTATTATGATTTATTGGCCACTCAGTGTGCTTCATCTGCTAATATACATATATATATACATATAATATATATTATTTTTCAAATGGGCGTCTTCTTTAAAAAAAGAGACTAAATAAGCCTTCTGTAATGTAAACCATAAAACATGTAAAACCAGGATACAAGCAAAGAATGATTAACATGCCAACATGTACAAGAGCAGCCTTGTACTCTAAATGTTGTGTTTGGGTGGTACAATCTGCATCCAGGACTGTTAGGAACCTGACTCTTTCCCACCCACCCTCCCTGTGTTTCTTGGTACAGCGTTGCTGTTTTTCTGGTTTTTGTTTTCTCATTGTCACAGCTCTGGCGGTGCTCCTGGCCAGCGAAATGGAAAGTGATGGGAAGCGATGAGTCGGCTTGGGGAGTCGCAGCCTGCTGAGGGCTAATGGCAGTCGGCAGGCTGATACGAACTCTGGACAAGGAAGTGGAATATGTCTGTTGGGGGGAGTTACCCAACGGCTGACAGTTGGATAGAATGCTGGTCCGTTAAAAAGTTGTAAAGTTAATAAAGCTGTGGCCGTTGCCCTTACCTATATTTCTGGTCTCATATGTTTTTGTTAGGGGCAACGGGGGGAGAGGATGGGCCAGCAGTCATGGATAAAAATATATATTTTTTGTTTAAGCACAAACCATAACTAAAATCTAGTGAATTATTGGTTTGTGCAAAAATAAGACAAGACATGGTTTTACTTTAAGAAGTCAAGTAAGTAAAGTAACTTTAAAACATCTGAAGTCCACAGAGTGAAAACAGTGACACTTACAGGGTTATTCACTAAAGTGAGAAATTTCAGGTGCCTACAGGCCTTGCTAAATATCAGGTCCCACTGGAAAACAAAGAGATATGTAAGCTAATGTGGCAGAGTAAGCAAGGCAAAGGAGTTCACAACATTGGACTTTTGACTACACACAATCTGTGCCAGTTTCTGATAGGAGCTTATTACATGTTATGGAACCTCTCTCAGCAGGATATTACCGGACTGGTCTAGAGCATGAGTTATTAGAGGAACATTGATCTGCTCAGTCATTGTAAATGTAACTCCTCAATCAGTCTTCTAATAACTAAAACAGGATTCTTTTTTCCCTGTCATTCAATATCTAACCAAAATTTGCCAAATTGGAAATATTTTTTCCAGCTCTGTATTTTGATTTAACATTTTCTGTTAAAGTCATGATTTTGTTGTTGACCCTGTTTCTGTGATTATTTGTTGGTGTGATACAAAAGGCTAAAAACCTGTAAACATATTTCTTTTGCTTTCATGATTTAGGTGATTGTGGAGTAGTCTACAAAACTGAAGAGTTTATTCAGTAAAATTCTCTGTGAAGAATTCAACAAGGTCATTGCAAACCTAAAATTGTTGAAAATATCTGATCTTGAGAATTCTTTCAATTTAGATATTTTTACTTGGGTTATGTAGCTGAGTAAATAAGCCTTCCAGAGTTATTCAATAAAGTGAGACTTTTCAGGAATTCAAAATTTATTTCAAATTTGAGGTCAAAGCTGAACTGGAAGCATAGCTAACTCGGAGAATGTATTTATTTTGGCTACTTTGGCCTTAAAATGTAAATTCAATTTGAATTCACAACAAGTCTCACTATAGTAAATAACTCTGTGTGAGTTAACCGCTATATTGCCAGGAAAACATACTCCTTTTCCTGGCACTATTGTGCCCTGAGGGTGCCCCCACCCTCAGGGTCCCCCTCCCGCCGGGCTCTGGGGAGAGGAAGGGGTTAAACACTTACCTTTCTCCAGCGCCGGGCGGGGAGCTTTCCTCCTCCTCTCCTTCTTCCTAGCGAGGTCATCGGCTGAATGCGCATGTGCGGCAGGAGCCGTGCGCGCCTTCAGCCAGTCTCATAGGAAGGCATTCATAATGCTTTCCTATGGAGGCTGGCGTCTTCTCACTGTGATTTTCACAGTGAGAAGCACACAAGCGCCTCTAGCGGCTGTCAATGAGACAGCCACTAGAGGCTTTAGAGGCTGGATTAACCCTCAGTGTAAACATAGCAATTTCTCTGAAACTGCTATGTTTATAAAAAAAAAAAGCGTTAAACCTAGCTGGACCTGGCACCCAGACCACTTCATTAAGCTGAAGTGGTCTGGGTGCCTATAGTGGTCCTTTAACGTAAATATTCTGGTGATGTTCTGCTACTTTTTAAGTACTCCATACCATATTGACCTATATTTGCATGTTATCACATTTGTGTTGGAGAATTTGTAGCATTTACTTTTTAAGAGTCAAATAGTTTTATAGCACTCATTTCCAACTTGTTTCTTGATATCAGCAGATAAACAACACAGGATGTATGGCATATATTTATTTATTGTCAAAAATGGAAGTTTTTTTGGGGGGAAAAAAAAGAGTTGATTTTCTTTTTATACAAGAATATGACTAAATATGTCAAGTCCTTATCGTTTTGGATTGTAATGGAAAAAATGCCAGTCTCAGCAAAATTATTTAATAAATTTCATACACAAGAATCAATTGCAAAAAGGTAAATAGGAATTACATTTTAAAGAAGAGCAAACAAATTAAGGGTCCTCAGTGTTTGAGAAAAGGGTACAAGGTGTGCCATTAAACCTAAACAAATATTTGTAGGAAAACATCTTTAATTAATGAGACATATGAAATATGTTATGTTTAAAGAGTTCTCATGCGCTAAAAGAAACAAGCATGTATTTAACTGTCAAATCACTCAAATTATATGGTACAATTACAATTTCAGTCATGTCCATTGTTACCCATGTGAACTCCAATATTTTAACAATGTAAGCCCAATTTGTATGGGAAGATATGATTGATTATAAACTTGAAAGGGAAGCATGTATCTTTGTATATGCAATGTTATATTTCATGTAGAGCTGTATATATTGTCTAATCCACTGGTTCCCAAACTTTTTAAGTTTAAGGCACCCTTAAAGGACCACTCTAGGAACCCAGACCACTTCAGCTTAATGAAGTGGTCTGGGTGCCAGGTCCCTCTAGGATTAACCCTTTTTTTAATAAACATAGCAGTTTCAGAAAAATCACAGTGAGAAGATGCCAGCGTCCATAGGAAATCATTATGAATGCTTTCCTATGCGACTGGCTGACTGCGCGCGCAGCTCCTGCCGCGCATGCGCATTCAGCCGAAGAGGAGGAGAGGAGGCGGAGAGGAGGAGGAGAGCTCCCCGCCCGTCGCTGGAGAAAGAGGTAAGTTTAACCCCTTCCTTGCCATCCAGCCCGGCGGGAGGGGAACCTTGAGGGTGGGGTCACCCTCAGGGCACTATAGTGCCAGGAAAACGAGTATGTTTTCCTGGCACTATAGTGGTCCTTTAATATTTCTGTTTGTCCAAGGCACCCCAAGTCAAAATTTCTAGGTTGCATATCTGTACAGCGCTGTGGCATTTACTGGCGCTATATTGTAATGTACAGTGTTGGTGTTTGAAGGGATGCTTGTATACATTTATTGTGTTTTAATACAGGGGTATGTTTGTATGTGATGTTTGCGTTTGATTGCAGGGGTGTGTCTCAATGTAATGTCCACTTTTAAATGTGAATGTACATATGTGTAAAGTATTTGTGTTTGAGTGAAGGGGTGTGTTGATATATATGTTATTTTGAGTTTGATTGCAGGGGTGTAGTTCTAAGTTTAAATTCCGACGCCCTCTTAATGCAAAGTTGGATAAGTACATTATACATTTTCTCCATCATACAATAGCACTTAACGCTATTATTTTAATTAATTCAGGAAATTTACATAAAGTAAGTTTTTTTCAGGTACAGCAGCAGGCTAAACATTAATGTCTAAGTTTATGTGCTTACACTGCATGATTGAAATACACTTTTTAATTAAAATCACTCCTTAGCGAAGGAGTTGACAGTGGAGTTTAGCAGTAGTGTACCAAGCTACATGTTTTATTCACTTCACTTTAGAAGTGCTTTGATTCATGAAATGATAACAGGAAACATTTACACTGTTTAACTGGTTCAACAATCAATCAGATGGATGCTCCTTCTGGCGCACAGTATCTTGAACCTGTACAACGTGGCTTGTTTGACTGCATATTTGTTTGGTTCTGATTTTGTTTGGTTCTGATTTTGTTTTGTGAAACTCTTTGTAAAATGTAAAAAAATGCCCAGCTCTTCTGGAAGCTCAGATTTGAGATCTGGAGAGGCAAATTGCAACACCGAGGGAGATTGACAATCTTGAGAGGAGTCTGCTGCTCACTGAGCAGAGTTTAGTGGGTGCAGGTAGTGGAGTGGGAGGAGATAAGACAGTTGGTGAGTAGGCACATAGCTGGGTAACAGAGGGGTGAGGAAACAGGGGGGAGGGAAGAGGAAAGGTTTCGCTAGTCCTGATCTTGTGCAGCCCAACAGATTTGCCCGTTTGAGTGAAGATGTTGGGAGCATCAGCTTAGGAGTAGCTGTACTGCAGGAAGCTGTTCCTTCTAACAGCCGTGGGAACAGCCCCTCTAGTACGGGTGGGGTTGAGAGTGTAAGGAAGGCTAGACAGGTTGTGGTCGTGGGGGACTCTATTAGGACAGTAGATAGGCTAATCTGCCACTCTGATCATCTCAACCAGACAGTTTGCTATCTCCTGGGTGCTCGGGTCCGACATGTTGCCGACAGAGTGGAGGGATTATTGGGAGGGGCTGGGGATGACCCGGCTGTCATGGTCCATATTGGTACCAATGACAAAGTCACAGGAAAATGGAAGGTCCTAAAGAATGAGTGCAGGGAACTAGGAAGTAAGCTAAAAATAATGACCTCCAAGGTAATATTTTCAGAAATATTGCATGTGCTGAGCGCTACAGCAGAAAAGCAGTTGGAGATTAGAGAGGTCAATGCGTGGCTGAAGTCTTGGTGCAGGAAAGAGGGTTTGGGGTTTTTAGAGCACTGGGCCGATTTTGTGTTTGGGTACAACCTGTATAGCCGTAATGGATTGCACCTAAATGGAAGAGGGTCTGCTGTGCTGGGGGATAGGGTGGCTAGAAGGTTGGAGGATATTTTAAACTAGTAGTGGGGGGGGGGAGGGGGTAAAAGCAATCTAGAAAATGGAGATAAGATAGAATGGAGATGGGCTTTAGCTCAGTATAAGGGGGGTAGAGATGGGGGGAGGGGAAAGCTCAGAACAGAGGAGGAATGTAATATTGATAAAAATTCACAAAAAGTACAAAGGACTCATGATATTAAATGTATGCTTAATGATGCAAGGAACCTATATAACAAAATTGGGGAACTGGAGGCAATAGCATTCACTAAACAATATGATATAATAGGCATAACAGAAACATGTTGGGATGAGGCACATGACTGGGCAGTTAACATAAATGGGTATACGTTATTTAGGAAGCAGAGATTGTAGCCGTATTAGTCCAGTGATATAGATGTAAGGATAGGAAAAACAAGAAGGGTGGTGGGCTATGTTTGTATGTCAACCATGAGTTAAAGTCAAATCTTAGGCATGTGGAGTGTGATGAGGAAAATGTGGCAAATGAAGGAAAATCAATTATTGGTTGGGATATGTTATAAACCACCTAATGTAAAT